CGGGCGCGCGGCGGGCCGGCCGGGCAGAGGAGCTCCGCAGCGCCGCGGCGGCACCAGCCGGCGGGCCGCGGCCCGGGCGACGCGAACAGCGGTCGCGCGGCGATCGGTCTGCGCCCGCGTACGAGAGCGCTCAGGGGAGCACGGGCCTAGCCCGGCGCAAAGCCGGCGCTTCGTCGCTGTTCTTTGCACTGGACAGCGCGCTGGCTGCGAAAGCCCACCCTAGGACGCAGGCTGCCGCAAGGCCAGAGAGAGGCTAACGGCACCGTTTCCACTCCAAACAGTGGGTGACCTAAGCGCTCAGGTGCCCTGAGTCATTTCCTCCTCCCAACTTTCTTCCTTTGCCTCCTCCTCCTCCTTGCCCTCGTTCCAGCCCGGCCACACCTCCGCTTCCCCTGCAGCTCTGTGCTCTGCTGCAGGCCCAGCCAGTGCCACAGCCGTGCTGCCTCTGCCCAGACAAGCACGCTCGCTCACATCTGCGCAGCACACGAGAGGGTCTGGAATTACTGCTATGCCTCACTGCCACAGAATTGTAGAGCTTCGAAAGGGCCTCTGGAGATCATCCAGTGCAAAACCCAGCAAAAGCAATTCCCTACAGCAGGTCACACAGGAAGGCATCCAGGTGCATCTCAAATACCCCCAGAGGAGACTCCAGAACCATCATGGGCAGACTTGTCCCAGTGATCCATCCCAAATAAGTTTTTCCTCGTGTTCATATTGAACTTTCTTTCTGAGTTCCCATTTGTCCCCACTGCCCCCTGTCCTGTCACTGAGCATCACGAAAAAGAGCATGGTCCCATCCACTTGAATTCCACCTTCAGATACTTATAAGCACTGATACAACCCCTGATCCCCCCTCAATCATTTCCAGGCTGAACAGTCCCAGGTCTCAGCCTTTCACAGAAGGGCCCCTCAGCATCTTTGTGACCCTCCACCGAACTCTCTCCAGGAGTTCCCTGTCCATCCTAAACTGGGGAGCCCAGTACTCCAGATGCGGCCTCAGCAGGGCACAACAGAAGGGAAAGATCACCTTCCTCAACCGGCTGGCCATGCTCTTTTCAATGTACCCCCAGATACCACTGGCCTTCTTGGCCACAACCTGCATAGCTGCATTGGCCTTACACGGCAGGGTTTTGTGAGCGGAGAATTGTGGCAGTTGGCCTTTGTGAGCAAAGCCCAGCACCACATGGCACATCAGAGCCAGCTCCAGCTGCTCCAAAAGGGACAGCCAGTAGCTGGAGTCTGTTCGCAATAGGTAATGCATTACATATTAATCCCCCTTATGCTGAGTCTGTTTTGCTCATGACAGAAAACTGGCAAGTGATCTCCCTGTCCTTATCTCAACCTGTAAGACTTTTTTCACTGTACTTTCTCTCTTTTGAGGAGAATGAGTGCAAGAATGGCCTGACAAGGCTGTGAAACCACCACACCCTTGCAGAGACCATCTGGAGTGGACAACCAGGCACCACTGAGGATTCCAGCTTTGCATGCCACAGAGCATCCAAATATTAGCCATCATTATGAAAAGTGCCCAGAAATACACATTGCAAAGAAGGTACCGGACCTCTAATCAACCAGCTACAACATGCTTATTTGAGGGATGCAGAGAACATCCTCTCAGGGTAAAGTTTTCTAAGTCACACACAAAAACTTATACTCAGAAAATGCATAGAGATACCATTGAAAAAAATCTTCAGTTAATAAATTGGAAGATAAGCACAAGTCAAAGGCAAGAGAGAAAAAAAATGAACAGGTATAAAGTGAGTTCACATAGGCATCTAATAGAACCCTATTAGGATAAATGCCCTGCAGACACATCACTGCAAACAAAGGCAGGCTAGCATGGATCAAACACAATACAGCCATCTAACAACCCTCCATAAACGTCTTAATTTTAGCAGAGGTCAGTTACAGATAAGAGGAAGTGAAAACAGTCCAATGGAGGTCTTGGGTCACATTTTCTTGTATAAACTGGCTGATACAAATCACCGCAGAAGCTGGTGTGCAGGGCAACCCCCATCATATTCCCCGAGGTGCTCAGCAGGAGTGCCTCCCTTCCAGTGCCTGCACTTCTCACACCACACATGGACACAGAGGAGATATTCACACCAATGACAGGAAAACTCTCACCCAATTCTTTTCCCTGTATTTGTCCTCACATTGTGTGAAGTTTTAAAGGTTTGTGTGAAGGCACGTGTGCTTGAGAACCCCCCTTCCTGCAGAAACTGCTAAGTTCTGCTGAACCTTCTGCTATTTCAGAAGGGGATTCTCAAATCTCTGCATAAGCACTGAGAAACATCTCTTTACACTCAATTACACTCAATTCATCATCTTTCACCCAAGCTTTTGCCTGTAATTTGCATCTGTGTTTAACGATGAAGGTAGGGAATTTCACCTGTTGGATGTAGCAAACAGCACTGACTGAAGAGTAACAACAAAGCCTTCCATCATGCAGGGAAAGTTTCAGCACCCTCATCTCTCTGCAAGCTATCTCCCCACTCTAAGCCTCCCTAAAAAGCAGTTAAAGGAATAGCTCAGCTTCTTTAACTGAAGACACATCTAGCCAAATGCATCTGTGGGGTGATCCTGGAACATGGAGCTCAAAACCCATTTTATATAGGCCACATAGTACAAGCCTTCTCTAGCAAAGCCACACTAATTCAGCTAATGTTTTCTTTGTGAAACTCTACTATTTTTACAATAGCGATTAGAAGGATCTGATTTTGAAACATCAACTAGAAGTTTTCAAAAATGAAGCAAGATCATCTATTACATTGTTGGCAAAGATCTGCTTGAAAAAGAATGATTACTGCCTGCAATTGGATGGCATTGATTGTCCACTCCTTCTAGATGTAACCAGACTACTACATCTAAAGCCATTACAGAGATCTGGGTACTGCAATACATGTCATGATCTAACAAACTGTACTTTTCCAGATGCAGAAAGGAACAAAGGAATCAAGGTAAAAGTTTTTGTCCATTTGTGTGGCAACACAGTATATCATATCAGAATGTTGTCTACGTTCAGTGTTGAACACTGCTCATTTTGGCTTCTAATGGTTTAAATCCTTACAATTCTGTCTGTACACCCTGCATAGGCTTTTCAACAAGCAATAGCTCCCAGAATTACATGATCTGTGAATTCAAGCTTAGGTTCACTTAACTTTTCCATACACAATTAGACACAAGCAGTCCTGCTAACTGGTTAGGCTGTTTCTAACATGAGTTCAAAAGCAAGGAGACCAAGTATTTTTTCTGAAGTAGACACGCAAATATTAAGGGAGGAGTTGTGAAAATCCAGCACAGTTCCACAACAACCTCAGATGAAAGAAAAAGCTCCATAAGGAGAAATAAAGGCCTTATCACACAGGGTACTACATGTAAATGATGGTGAGGACTTCATAATGACATCCTTTCCACAGCGGTGCCTGCAGTCTAAGACTTTCCATGCCACAGAAAGACCAGATTTCAAAGCAAACATCTCAAGGGAGAGAAAGGCTTGCAAACTAATGAAACTGGTCCCACACAGCTGCTGTCTGAAGGACCACCCTCTCTCCACAATTTACTAGCTGAATCAGCTCAGGCAGGGACAGCCAGCACCAGGACAAGAAGAAAAGAACAAGGAGCAAACAGCTGGGCAGACAAGCAGGGAGAGCAGGACTAGTCCTTTGGCAGCATATATCCATCATGCTGGAGCTTTCTTTCACTCTGCCATCTGACAGGGCTGCCCATCCCTGCAACTATCCAACCAACACAGACTAAACAGCCAGTACGTCAGCAGAGTGTAGTTACTCACCTCTGCCATGTAGAACTGGACAAAAAATTGCATAATGTAGATTACACCATATTCCAAAACATGTAAAAACAAAGCTGCTAGGAATAGATCTGTGGCACAATAAATACGCATTTGACAATTAAATACATTTCTCTGCATCAGAACGTTACTGAAAAGTTCAGCAACTACAAATAAGTCACTGTGAAATTTAAAACACTGAATTCTGTAGTATTAAAATAAGAATCAGCATACAATACAACATGAGAACTTGCAAACACATTATGAATACCATTTGGTTTTCAGCTTCACAGGCCCACCCAAAACAGTAAGCAGCTCAGGCAACTTGACTACTTAAGAGATGCTTCACTATGTAACTTGGCTGATAAGTTCTATCACAAAGCACATAGGGGATCAGATTGTAATGCTAGTGATAAGGATCACTAAGCTTTCCGTTACATACTCACGTGAGAATGAAAACATCGCCCAAGTCATTACAGGTATCTAATCCACCTTTGAAGAAAATTCATTTCCAAAAAGCAAGCTTACAAAAGGATTCCCTTCTCTAAGAAAGATTCCCATTCAATACATAAGCAAAAAATGAAATAAAATAAAATTTCAATGCTTAGTTGAATGTCAACACTTAGTTTCAATGATAAATAGCAATAAAATATTCTCCAGAAACTTTTCAGTTACAATAGTACTGTTTCACTGCCTCAAAACACTCACAAAGATAAGTAGCTTATCTATAAAACCAAAGTGCAATAACAACACAAAATCAATATACTGCATATAGTATTCCAGTGAAGAAGTTAGATCTAACCTAGCTTCTTCACTCTAATTATTAAGTCAATACACAGTGGAATTTTTCAAAACATGAAAACTGTTCTGGAATCATTGCCCAGAGGCATTACAAACTGCCCAAATCTTATCAGTTTTACGAGATACACACCAAATGAAGTTTACCAGTAACAGTGTAGATAATAAAGTTCCTTCAATACCCAAAACCAGTAAAATCCTAACATCAGCACAGGCCTCA